GTAGCAGCAGCTGTGCTTTCTGGGAACCGGAATTTTGAGGGTCGTGTTCATCCCTTGACAAGAGCTAACTACCTTGCTTCACCTCCATTGGTGGTTGCTTATGCTCTTGCTGGCACGGTAAATGATAATTACTAGTATTAATGTTTATACCATTAACTCTTTATGGACTGTAATTAAGTTCTGGAGTCTCCTATTTTTTGAAGGATTGAATCAAGCAAAGTAAAAGTTATTTAGATGTTTATATTTCTGTTATTTTGCTTTATCTTACTAGATTGATTCTATAATTGTGGAGATAGATCACATGCAACTACTTTTCAGGTTGACATTGACTTTGACAAGGAGCCTATTGGCACTGGGAAGGATGGAAAGAGTGTCTATTTCAAGGATATCTGGCCATCTACAGAGGAAATTGCAGAGGTGAATCATCTGATATTTGCATAACTTCCCAGTTCCCTGTTATCTGTCTTTGAACATATGAAATCAACTTTTGGATTTTCTCCTTAGGTTGTCCAAGCGAGTGTCCTGCCTGATATGTTCAAAAGAACTTATGAGGCTATTACATCTGGCAATCCTATGTGGAATCAGCTGTCAGTACCATCAGAATCCTTGTACTCATGGGACCCTAACTCAACCTACATTCATGAGCCCCCATACTTCAAGAACATGACCATGGATCCCCCTGGACCAAATGGAGTGAAGGATGCATACTGCTTGCTGAACTTTGGTGACAGCATCACAACAGATCACATTTCTCCAGCTGGAAGCATTCATAAAGACAGTCCTGCTGCCAAGTACCTCCTTGAGCGTGGGGTGGAGCACAAGGATTTCAATTCATATGGGAGTCGTCGTGGCAATGATGAAGTGATGGCTAGAGGAACTTTTGCAAACATCCGCCTTGTAAATAAGTTCTTGAGTGGTGAAGTGGGCCCAAAGACAATTCACATTCCAACAGGAGAGAAACTCTATGTATTTGATGCAGCAATGGTGAGTTCAATACCCTCTGGGCAAGATAACAACTGCTTGTATTGTTCAATTACTAAGCTCTGATTGCTATTTCAGAGGTACAAGGCTGCTGGACAGGACACCATCGTCTTGGCTGGAGCAGAGTATGGAAGTGGGAGCTCCCGAGATTGGGCTGCCAAGGGTCCAATGTTATTGGTAAATCTTTTTGTTTGACAACATAAAAAAAATCTGTACTTATGTGTGTGTGTGTGTGGATTTTTACATATTCAGTCTTTTTTTTTTTCTTTTTTTTTAATGCCTGATAATTTTGTTGTACAACAGGGAGTAAAAGCAGTGATAGCAAAAAGTTTTGAGAGAATCCATCGCAGTAATTTGGTGGGAATGGGTATCATTCCTCTTTGTTTCAAGCATGGTGAGGATGCTGACAGTCTTGGATTGACTGGTCATGAGCGTTATACTATAGACCTTCCAAGCAAAATCACTGACATAAAGCCTGGCCAAGATGTGACTGTGACAACAGACAGTGGAAAATCTTTCATCTGCACAGTCCGCTTTGATACTGAGGTACTTCTTGTTTCAACCATTTTCTCTGTTTATTTTTTCCCTCTGGGGGTTTTATTTAGATATGTGCAGCATCCAAATAAGACTCCAATTAAAATAAGTTGAAGTCAGACATAATCTATCTTACCACTTTAGAATTGAAATAAAAGTGGCTAAATATACATAATTTATTTAATAGAAGAATCCATTTTTTTCCCCTTAAGGCAATATTTTAGGTGACTAATACTGTTGCTTTGTAATTAGAAAATGAAAGGGAAATCTTTTAGTTCTCATAAAAAAAGAAAAGAAATGGAAAAAATGGGATTATTTCTTCTATACAAATGCTAACTGGTTTTATTAATATTTACTCAAACCACTTCTTTCCAGTCATATATGCAACTCCGTTCATACAAATATGTGAACAATGCAGCCTACCAACAGCTGAGACTATTTTATGTACAGATTTTGCTGCATGAACTTTGTGAAGTCTAACAATGGTTTCAATTGCAGGTGGAACTGGCATACTTCAATAATGGTGGCATACTTCCATATGTTATTAGGAACTTGATTAAGCAGTAAATGCCTTTTGTGGTTGGCCTGGTTACAATCGAGACTATCAAGTGTAAAATTTTTGAAGTGAATAAATTCAATAACTGAGGAAAATCCCTGTAACGGGTACATGTACTTTTGTTTTCAATTCGTTAGTCGGGCAGACAATTCTAGTCTGCGGACAAACAAAACTATCTAGAAATATAATTCTTTCCCCCTGTGCTTTGCATTGAAGCAAGTTTGATCGTTTCTGAATTTTCAATAATATTCGAGTGGGTCTTACGGTATTACATGAAGCTGTAGCTGTTGTCATTTTGCAACTACTGATGAGTGAATGTTAGAAGGCAATTCATGAAAGGATGCAAAAAACGGACCGTTGTTTGGAACTAGGGAAGCCAAAAAAGAAGGAATGAAGGAGAAAGAAGAGAAAGAAACTAGAATGAAGAAGAAATAGGAGAAAGGAGGAGAATCCAAAGAGAGACAGAGTCGAAGAGAGAAGGAAGGAAACCATATTCAGTTTATTCATCAGATGCCTTGGAACTGAATTCATTGGCCTTTTATAGCCTAACAAATCAGTAAAGTCCCTAAAACACCTCTATTTACAATTTGATATGTAACAGAGTTGGAAAGTAAGTTGGTGAGAAAGAAATACGACCCTAAAAAATGCAAAAACCGACGAGGGTTATCCTCCACACTCAGAAAGCTACACAAGTCACCGGAGCACCATAGCCGGACGGCTCTCCATGGATGAGCAGTGTAACTCCTGCACTGTTCTTATTTATTTATTTGTTTATTTTCATATTTATTCCCACACACTTTTGCCCTCCTTGGAATATAAGCATTTTGTAGTTTTCAAATGAACAATAAGCCCCACAACTTACGAGCCCAACAAAAGGCCCAAAAACAAAAAAAGGCTCAAATAGATTGCAATCCGACCTCAAAAACACGTTCGTTTATCCACTCCGAAAACTCACGGCCCCCACTCTGAAGACCAATAAATGATAGGAGCAAAGTCTATAATAATAGAGTCTTCCAAACGCCTGGAGTCCTGCGACACGATGGTCATGGCGACGTTCATTGCTTCCGTTCTTCTATCTTCCATGCTCGTCACAACTGCTATTGCCGTCGGCGTCTTCAGCGTCAAGTACAAATACGCCGGTCAGGAACGTTCTCTGGCTGCTTTCAAAGAGCACGACCGTAACCGCCAGCTCCATATCCTCGCCGTCGCTGGTATTGACCTCCCTCTCGGTAGCTCCAGTCGCCTTGACCCCGTCGGGTTTGTTTTTTTTCTTTCTCGATTGACCTTGACTTTTCAATTCAATTCATATTTCATACTTACTGATTGCATTAGAGTAAGTTCTTCGTTTCCTAAGTTCTAAACTTTAGCTTGATTTTCCAATTTAGTGAATCATCTTTGTGCTTCTCTTTCTGTTTAAGATGTTTACCTGTACTGCTTTTCGTATTTGTGTTTGATTGATCTTTATTAAGGCATACTGTAGGCTTTATTATGCTGAGATTGGACTTGGAACACCGACGCAGAACTATTATTTGCAAGTGGATACAGGAAGTGACATTATGTGGGTAAATTGCATTGAATGTAAGGAATGCCCCAAAACAAGTTCTCTCGGCGTAGGTCTCTTCTCCATCTTGTTTTATTACTGTAATTCTTTTTAATGTTGCATCATTTAATGACAAAGTTATTAATGTGTATGTTTTAGTACTGTCTGTCTGAATCAGTGTAATTCTTTATACAGATAGATCTTAAACTGTATAACGTAAATGATTCATCCACTGGGAAAATGGTTTCGTGTGATCAAGACTTTTGCCGGGAGATAAATGGAGCTCAATTGCCTGATTGTAAAGCCAATATGTCATGTCTATATCTTGAGATATATGGAGATGGAAGCTCTACTGCAGGATACTTTGTAACTGATGTTGTGCAGTATGACCGTGTGTCTGGTGATCTTCAAACAACGTCAGGAAATGGAAGTCTGGTATTTGGGTCAGTTATTGATTTTAATGTTGTTCCTTCTATTGAAAACCATTCGTTTGATATGTGTGCACTATGTGTTGCACATGCTTCTTTAGTTATTAATATAGTGCTTTGATTTTTTTTCTTTTTTAATAGGTGTGGTGCTAGACAATCTGGGAATCTTGATTCATCTAATGAAGAAGCACTGGATGGGATACTTGGTTTTGGAAAATCAAATTCATCGGTAATTTCTCAGCTTGCTGGTTCTGGGGAGATGAAAAAGATGTTTGCCCATTGCTTAGATGGGATCAAGGGAGCTGGCATCTTCGCTATTGGTCATGTTGTGCAACCAATAGTTAACATGACTCCTTTGGTGCCAAATCAGTATGTCCATCATTCACCCATTGTTTAGTTAGCAATCTCTTATTATGATTTTTGGTTAACTTCATAACCAACAAGGTGTGCCGTTGTTAACTTCATTTTTATAAGACTTGAAGAGGGTTTATTTAGTCCACGGTTTAATTTGTTTTGTTTCTGTGGTGATCTTACTTCTTTTAGTCTTCTAAATCATGTTAAATATTGCTCTTTCAAATTTCATCTATTAAACAATATCTTCTTGTTACAAAAACTCTAGGTCACATTATAATGTCAATATGACAGCAGTTCAAGTTGGTGTCAATTTCCTAAATCTTACGACAGATTTATTTGAGGTAGGCGAAAGAGGGACAATAATAGACAGTGGAACAACCTTGGCATATCTCCCTGAAATGGTTTATGAGCCATTAGTCAGCAAGGTAGATGAAATGAAAGTTCTTTATATCTTCTGGAGAGTATTGTTGCTGCCTATTTATAAGTTTTATATATTTTGTTAGATAATCTCTCAGCAGCCTGATTTGAAAGTCTTCACAGTTCGTGATGACTATACCTGCTTTCAATATTCTGGAAGGTATGGTGTGGAGGATATTTATGTTGTGCATAGGATATTTAAATTTGAATGAGAACAAATTTAGACTACTTCTCCCATTATAAATTTAAAATCTCTCTGCTTCTATCTGATAATAGGAATTTGTTATTAATCTTCTAAAGGATACTTGACACCACTGCATCAGCATCTACAATATGCGTTGTGTTTATTGCCAAATTTTCTGTGTTTTGTAGGTTATGTTCTCTGTTTTACTTCTTGTTTTGTTGTAATACTTCTTGGTAATCCTGGTGAGTCTCATATAGAGTCTATCTATGAATTTCATAAATATCTTCTATCCCTATTGTTCTCTGCTGTGGCTACATTAATGGATACATGGGTTGCTTTATTTATTGAATTATTGTGTTGTTGTTCTGACATCTACGCAAGTACATGTGTTGTGTAGTGATGCTATGGCTTATATCCAGTTTTCTTTTACTGCAGTCTTGATGAAGGATTTCCAAATGTCACTTTTCATTTTCAAAACTCAGTTCTTCTGAATGTTTATCCACATGAGTACCTATTCCCATATGTAAGTATGTTTTAGATGCAAGTTATTATTATTTTTATTATATACTTTTGATTCTTCAACAATACTTTCTCAAAATGGTTGCATTTTTTTATGGTATTGTTTGTTACACATCCCTCATGTTTAATGGCATGCTTATTTGGGAGAGGTATCTTGAAGCGTTTTCCTGTATCTGTCATTTACTTTTTGTTTGTTTACCTTTGTTGAAACTTTTGTATTTTTATGTTCTTATTTTCAAGCATGCATCTTGCAGGAAGGTTTGTGGTGTATCGGCTGGCAAAACAGTGGACTGTTTTCAAAAGAGAGAAAAAATATAACCCTCTTGGGAGGTATGTCCCAAAATTCATATGAACTTACCCTTGAGAAATACCATTCTTCTTAGTATAGTCTTTATAGATTCCCATGCCACATTCTTTCCGTCTTGGAAGGTTTAATGTTCTTAATAACTCTGAACCATGATTTTGGTAGAAGCACAGGCATCCTTTTTCATTTGAAGAACTTGCTAATAGTATGGAGGCTATGATTTATATCATTGCTTTTGTATTTTGTTTTTGTTTTTTTTTTTTTTTTAAATTAGAATATGTATGAATTGGTGGAAAGTTTTAGGAATGATCTTCTTCCAGCTATATCTTTACTCCCAAAAGAAGAAAACTGAATGCTTAGATTACCTAATAGGAGCAATGATAATTTTGGCTATATGTATAAAATGGGTATTTGTATCTTTTTAACCCTATGGTATATTCTCTTTCTTTTACAGATTTAGTGCTTTCAAGCAAACTGGTTTTATATGATCTAGAAAATCAGTCCATTGGATGGACAGAGTACGACTGTGAGTATTAATTCTTTTTTAATGCTCCCTTTTATTTCTTTCAAATGATTTGTTTTGCATTTTACAGTCTATTTCTTTTTTTCCTCTTGGCCAAATGATTTGAAATGAGTATTATTAGTCCTTTCCCATCCCCACGCCCAACTATATTTCTGGAAGCTGTATTTATCATGGAAAGTTCTTACACAATTCAGGTTGAAATTCAGAGTTTTATGGGCCGTTTTGTTTGAAAAATTGGTGGTTGGTTTCTTTCAGGCTCCTCAAGCATTAAAGTGAAGGATGAACAGACTGGAACAGTACATCTAGTAGGCTCCCACTATATTTCTTCTGCTTCCAATCAGAACACGCTGGTTGTTATAATTTTGATTTTCCTAACGACATTGCTGCCTCATCTTTTTAACTGACATGGCACAGAATGCAAAGGAACATAGACATTAAGATATAGGGAAAATTTTCATACTAAAATGAAAATAAAAAGATTCATCAGGACATAGTACATTCAAAACTTGACACACACAACTTGTATACATAGATCTTCATGTAATACCTTGGACTCTACCTCTGAAGGAAATAGTGCATTCTTCCTAAATTTCAGACATGCTGTGATATGGTCCTCTCCATAAAAAAAAAATGGAGGAGGGGAATTGTATTATATCTAGCTTTAACTCTGCTGAAGGAAATAAAGCTTTTTAAAGTTTACATGTAAGCATGTTACATTGAAATATTGATACCTGTACCCTACTTGTATTGTATCTGCTGCTCTGATGGACCGTCTTTGCTCGAACATTTTCACTGTCCATCCTGCGTATCATATGGTATACAAGTCGAGCTTTCATCGAAAGCTTAGTGTTTTTTGAATCAGTTAAGAATCCACGACATTCTTACAAAAAGAAATCAAGAGTGAAATCAGTTTGAATCAATCAGGGGATAAGATTTACGCAGCTGTAGGTCTATACAGTTCCTTCCTCTACAGCATCCTTCAAAACAAATATGCTTAGGCATTTTAATTCTCAACAAAATTAAAAAAAGAAAAATAAAGGTTTTAAATGGA